CATATGCTCAATGCTATTCATATCATGCCTATGCAATTCATCCCATCTCATGATACAACATGCGACATGTCACAACATCAACCTTCAACTACCGTCAAAACACCAATGTATCCACATCATTTATTTACACCAAAACCAGAAAAGGGTCCTGATACACCCTGTGAACCCTATGACAACTCTGCTATAAACATCATCAACCCCCCAGTCAAATCCATATTGAATATCCCACCACCACCAACAGTATACACTTCCAATATCTCTTTGACAGTCAGAGCACAAATTGACACCGGTGCAGATATCACATGTACAAATCTGATCAATGTCATCCACAACTACAAACCATACACAAAGGATTTTCCATATCAGCTCAAACTTGTTGGGGCCATTAACTCTACAGAAGGAGTGTATCCCCATGGTGAAGGATACATTCATGTCCTGGCTGTCAATGAAAATGGATATGCTYGTGTCTGTTGTATCTCCTCCCCAACGTTGTCATCCACATTAATCTCTGAAGATGACATCGTACGTTCTAATCCAAAATTAAAACTTCAAGATTGCACCATTGCAATATATAAATTCCATGGCTTAAATACAATCACAATCCAATGCAAACACCACAAAGAAGATGAGCAGTTTGCAAAGAACCACTGCTACAGTCAACAAGATACATGTATATCAGAAAGGTGCTCATGACCATATTGAACTCAAAATGCATCAGTTGCCCTCGGATCTGCCTGACCACCTAGTCAATGATTGGATATTGGATGCAACAACAATATATGCCATCAAAGCACAAACTGAAAGCCTTTTGTGGCATCAACGTCTGGTCTGGGACATATCAATGATGAATACCTATACAATGCTCACAAATTCATTGACAGTATCCCCAAATTCAAGCACAACGATCCTATTCTTGATTGTTGTTCTAGTACTACCTGCATTCRATCCAAACAAATGAAAATACCAGCTGGCCAAAACTCAACCTATTCTGCCACAATACCATATCAAGGTCTCTTAATTGATTTCTCCTTTAGCGGAACAAAATCGAAAGATACTTCACGTGCACAGGATTATGAAGGAATCAACAGTGAAAAAAGTTGGATTCTTATCTCTGATTACTTCACTTGCTATTTGATTGGCGATACTTGACTCTCAAAGGCCTCTCCCATCACCTGACTCCAGAAGTTCTTGGATATAAACACAAGAAACTGTTCTGACAAATAHGTGTACATGGATCAAGGTGGTGAACTATATCATAACCCAGAAGTACAAAAATTGTTCACACAAAAAGGATATCAGATACAACCAACAGGTGCCAACTCTTCCCACCAAAATGGACCCTTTGAACAAGCACATCAAACAATCACTGACAGAATATGTTATCTTCTCTCTAGAGCCAACTTGCCAATCAAATTTTGGCCATATGCCTTCCATCACTCTCTTCAGATACTGAATGCACCTCCTCAATGTACACAGACTCAATCACTGCTGCAACTTGCTACAGGAAAGAAAGAAAACKTACAATTAAAACCTTTGGCTGTTGTATCTGGGTATGTCCGACTGACAGACAACCTGCAAAATTCAAAAACAATTCTAGAAAAGGCATTTTTCTTGGGTATCTACCCCAAACTACAAAGAACATTCTTCGGTACAACGTCAAAACCAATTGTGTCAAAATTGCATTGCATGCTCAATTTGATGAAGGCATGAATGACCTCCMGGCACAAGWCATTCCTCCAAACATTGTCCATTTGCAGCGTTCAGAAAATGGCTCCAACATCTCTCCAGATAATGCAGAAACAAATGACATCAATCTCTGTTTCTATATATCACCGTTTTCAGGATATCTTAACAAAAGAAGTTTGAGTCAAGTGTAATAGCCCCACTTTTGGTCTAGAACTTGACAAGGACAAACTGAACAGTTTTGCTTTCTTAAAAGACACCACCAAGAAATCAAGTGCTACCACCATGTTCTCCAGTTGGAAATCTATGAGAAATAAAATTTGTGGTGCATACATTGTTTTGATTAATAACCAACCCGTTTTCAGTGAACAATCTGCACTGATGATACTTGAATCCTTAGTGACAAATGGYATTACCAACTTTGACATCAAATTTCAAGTATCAGAAGCTGGAAGGAGTGCAACAGATACGTTGATGAATATAACTTGTATAAACTGACAGACAAATTCAATAAAACTGCTGAGATCAATTATGCCACACTACATGCCATCACCACACTGTGAACAGGTCTCCAAATCCCATCCTACATTGTTTCCAATGAAATGATATGACTTGCAATCAATGCCCTCACATCACAAACAACTATGAAAGAAGAAGAGGCACTTGGACACTTTACTTGCCAAAAATTAAAGAAGCTTGACAGTTGGAATGAATGGTTGGAAGCTGAACGCAAAGAACTTGACCAATTTCATGACCTTAAAATGTATAGAAAACCAACACCACAGCCTCCAAAATAAATTCTTCTTTGACCACATTGGCAATACCAAGTTTGCAAAACTGGTGAATGTTGCTCTTGTAACTGCTGTGATGGATCAAAATGCTCTGCTCCATTGCTTCATGCAATTGCTTCTACTTACTCATCTTGTGTAGTAGAACAACCAGTACAAGGACTATTCTTTGCCCTCACTGCATTCATCAATCACAAACAACATGGGTTTCCCTATCGCACACTCCTTGGCAAAATCCTTTATGCATACAATGTTTGTTGTCCTGACATTGGCTTTGCAGTATCCACCATGTCAAAATTCTCTTTGACCCAGTCAGACTTACACTTCAAATACCTCAAAGGTGTAGCTCTATACCTTTGATGTACAAAAACACAGGGCCTCCGATACCACAAAACTACAATCCTACAAGACAACAAACTCCCAGRTGGAAACTTCAACAAATCTCCAATCCCATTGCCTKATAATCTTCCACCATTTCCATCATTGCCTAATGCTGCCACCACAACGAGTTGATGCTGCATACGCAAATATAAAAACACCAAAACAAAAATCTACTACAGGATTTGCAGTCATGCTGGCAAACACTGCCATTGTATACAAATCGAAAACCCAAACCCAAACCACACAAAGCTCTACCAAAGCAGAATTCTATGCCACTGTTTCTGCTGGCAAAATTGTGTTATACCTCAGGTCTATTCTTGCTGACCTGGGCTTTCCTCAACAGAACCCGACAACGTTATATGAAGACGATGACTCTACAATCAAAATCRTAAACTCCGGAGTCCCGACTGAACGATGGGGACACATTGATATACYGTACTTTGCAATACAAGATTGGAAAAGAGACCTATACATCAAGATGCAGTTAATCAGTGGCAAAATCAACCTCACAGATGCACTCACTAAACCCCTTGGCTGGGTCCTTCACTATTGCCATATACGCTGACTCTTTGGGAATTATGCTTTTATCCCACCCAATTGATATCCTCCTTCCTCGTCTTTTCTGCYATGATCTGCTCGATTCACACATCACAGATCACAGTAGGGTGCTGTCCATAGGATATCAGATTGTGGGTGTGATTCATACCTATGTATCATATATATGACACGTACATATGATTCATACACACTTTACATTCATTACTCACTCGATCCTATGGATCCATATGATCAATATGACTCATTTGATTCACTTGCGTGAGTGACTTGACTCATTCAATTCAAACATCACTCAATCTTCATTCTGATCAATCTTAGATTTCATACTAGTTCATCGATCCTTGATAAGAGCATCAACTCACTTTTCTACTAGTGCACAATTAACATCACTATTAGATAGTCACTCCCACACATTCATCCGAAGAGCTTCCATTAAATACTGACACCTTCCCCTTTAGATGATTTAAAGGGCCTCCAACCATTCAAAAATGTTCCATTCAGCTTTTGTGATTCAACAACAGCAGCCATTCATTCCTTCCATTCATACAAACGCATCAATTCCAGCTTTCAAGACTGCTTCACTTACAGCTACCAGAAARTTACTTTAAAGTAGCTTTAAGTAGCTTTAGAGTAGCTTAACAGTATTTTTTTAGTCAATTTCTGGTATACATGTGATAGTAGTAGTCGTAGTAGTACTAGTGGATATGTGTGATTAAGTATAAGTAGGGGATGAGCATAAGTATTCTTGACTTAGTCAGAGGAGTCATGGGTAC